TAATGGATATAATTAAAGAATACTTACACTATAACATAAATTAGAAGTGCAACGCAAAAAAACTGGATTTTCCCGCCTATTTTGAATTTTACTCGAATACAAATACAAATACTTTTCCCCCCTCAACAAATACAAATACAGATACAAATACCGGCTGCTTTGCACACCCCTAGTGTCCACTGAATATCGAGTAGATTCAACTTAATATAGCTTTTAGTGTATTTAATGATTTCTGTTGGTATGATAATGATAGTTTAGTAACAGTTACTTAATACTGAATTGGGACAGTTAAATTGGGACAACTTAAAAAGATCAATGCAAATAGTTAACACACCTTTTTGAGTAGATCCAATACATTCTTTTTTAGAGTGTGCAGCTGCCTTTGATGGAACATCATGTCCCCAGTAGTCAGAGATCTCACTGCGGATTACTGTAGCATTGTCAGGGTGAGAGCCTCCTCAGGAGCTGTTATATCAGGCTGGAATAAGGCTGAGATCAGGATCATCACAGGGTGCATTATCTCTGTGATCCAGAGTACAGAGGGTCTAAAACAGAAACTGCCCAACGCCAGCCACCCATCAGAGCATTTATGGATGACATAATAGTCACCACAGAGTCAGTCCCAGGACGTCACTGGATCCTTCAGGGGCCTGATGGGGTGGGTGCAGATGGAGTTCAAGCTGCCAAATCTATGTCCATGGTGCTGAGGAGAAGGAAGGTGGATGACAGTTCAGTATGGAAGATACTACCTTCCCAACCATCACAGAGAAGCCTGTTAGGAGACAAAATGTTTGACAGCATCCTGAGGACACAACAGCCATCAAGTCGGCCTGCACTGAGTTGGATGGCTAGCTGAGATCAGTGGACTGGTCTGGCCTACTGGGGTAATTTAAAGCAGGGCTGTACCAGCATGTCATTCTTCCAAGAGTCCTGTGGCCACTCCTGGTTTACCAAGTGCCAATCTTGACAATAGAAACCTTGGAGCAGAAAGTCAGCAGCCACCTCCGGAGCCTGAGCAGCATGGCTCTCTGTGGTCTTCAAAACAACCTGTGACTGCTATTTAAGTCCTTGGAAGAGGAGCTAAAGGTTACAAGAGCTGGGAAAGTGTTACTGTACAGAGGGTCAAGCGATCTGAAGGTGGCCAGAGCTGGCATAATGGTGAGGACTGGCAGGAAGTGGAGGGCGGAGGAAGCTGTTTTACAAGCCGAGTTTAAGGTTGCGTCACAAGATAATGGTAGGAATGGTGATGCAAGGCCGAGCTGGACTAGGATCCTTCTCCACATACCACCTTAATCACCTGAGGGAAGGAGGAAAACTTCCTGGTCCAGCAGGAAGTGAGAGCAGCAGTGAAAGATGAGAGATTGTGCTGGATGGTGGGAATGAGGCACCAAGAGGTTTAGTCAAGATGGGAAAATATGGTAGAGAGGAAGGTGACCTGGGCTGAGCTGTGGAAAGCTGAGTCACACAACATCAAATTCAAATTCCTCATCCAGGTTGTTTATGATGCTTCCCAGCCAATCCAATAGAGACGGGGGGGGGG